AGCAGGCTTTCTGAAGCATAGCATGTCCCTGGTCAGACCATAGTTCATCTGCACAGTAGCATCATTCTCAAGTGTCCCTAGATTCTGGGTACCACCCCAGTCCCGACCAATTTCTCAGCATTCTGTTGACTGGAGCCCAGGTTATGAGTAATTCTGAGAGTTCCCTGGGTGAGTCTAACCTGAGATCCACTTTGCCAAAAGAGCTCTAAGGGTCTCCACAGGCGTCCCTGGAGCCTGTGATCCTGTGATCGGCTGCCAGGCTTGATCCTGGCAGTAGACATTAGCATGGGCTTGGGGCCTGAGTGAGTAGAGATCATGACTCGCCTCTTTCATTGCTTCCATATTCATCATTAATGAGGTGAAAGAAAAAGGGACTGGGTGGGGTGGCACCTTCCTGTAACCCTCCACCAGCAGGTAGAGGCAGGAAGATGGGGAGTTCAAGGTCAGCCACGGCTGTAGAGTGAGTCTGCGAAGAGTCCAATACATGTGATTGTCAAAGGAAGAGAGGGGGGGGGGCGGAAATAAAAGAAAAAATGAATTCTGAGTGGAAACGGAAGAGCACTGACTCGTGGAGTCTCTGTGGCGATGGAAAGCTTCTGCAGCCTTAGCTGTTCCTCACGGCAGCTCTGAGCCGGATATGGTTACTAAGTCTATGCAATGTGGCTAGTGTAGCTGGGACTCTAGTTTTCAAGTTGATTTAGGGTTAAGTTTAAATTTAAAGAGTCGCGAATGATTTGTAGTCCCATGGTGGATAGAGTCCCTATGGTGTGTCAATCATTACAAACACTGTCCATGCCTGTGTACTTCCACACCTTTACTAACAGCACCCCATTACTTTAAGGGCAGCCTTCTGCCCCCTCTGTCTACGGCCATAGCTAGACAACCACCAAAATTGGACTGCTCTCCTTCAGAGGAAGGATGGGCCTGAGACCCGAGCTAAGGCAGACTCTCCTCTCTGGGACTCTGGTGCTAGGTTCAGTGTCACAAAAATAGAAAATAAGGGCCAGGGTGGTGGTGTATACCTCTAACCACAGCACGTGGGAGGCAGAGGCAGGCAAGTCTCTGTGAATTGAGACCAGCTTGGTCGACATGGCAAGTTCCAGGGCAGCCAGGGCTACCTAGTGAGACTCTGTCTCAAACAACAACAACAACAAAGTTAGTCAAAAGAGATCGCTATGAATGCTGATGTCCTAGGACACTTTGTATTCATCTCTAGAACTGTAGTCTAGAATGTGATAGCAATAACATGAACTTTATCTTTATCATCAAAATCACTGGTGCCTAGTAGCTCTGATGTGCCAGTACCTCTACTAGGGACACAATCCACGCAGCCTTTCTTCATCTGACACATGGAAATCATACCATCTTACCTTCCTCCAGTCCCGTTTCGAGACAGTCTTGTGTAACCCAGACTGACCTTGATCATCTGAGGGTGGCCTTGAACTTCTGATCCTCTTGCCTCCATCTCCCAAGAGCTGGTATTACAGGTGCACACTACCACAACTGGTTGGTGCGATGCTGGGGATCGAACTCAGAGTTCCAGGCATGCTAGACAAGCACTCTTTACAAAGCGACACACCCCACCCCTTCTTCCGGAGATTTTATTTGGATAGCAAAGGAGATCATGGTCGTAAGCACTTTGAGCCAAAGTAAGGAGTTACCTGTGTCCCTTCTAGATGTTGTTCTCAGGGCACACTTTTAGAGGTGTCCTGGGAGGGTTTGACAAGAAGCCAGGATCTGGTCCCAGTTCCCAAGCTGTGCAACAGTAGGCAAGATACTTGTGCTCTCTGGACTTTTGTTGGAGACTGAGTGAGACACACCCATTTCCAGGTTCTCTGTTGCCTAGTACTTTTGCACATCCCGTGCTGGATGCATGTCTCCTCCCACATCTACAGATACAGCCAGCCAATCCCCAGCCTAGATTATGCCGGCTCTGTGACCCTTTTCTTCCTTCCCCAGCTTCCACCTCACTGGGAAGGTGCCCGGAATATTGGCTCACAGTAGTCTGCTCTACTCTCTGGCAGTGTTGCTTGGCTTTGCTCCTTTGGGAGACCCACCACCCAGCTCCCAAATAAGTCACGCACGGAGGCTTATTCTTAATTATAAATGCCCAGCCTTAGCTTGGCTTGTTTCTTGCCAGTTGTTTTTTTTTAACTTTAAATTATTCCATCTACCTTTTGCTTCTGGCCTTTTTCCTTTTCTTACTTCTGTAGCCTTGCTTACACTTACTCCGTGATTGGCTGTGTGGTTGGGTGGCTGGGTGGCTGGCTCTGATGTCCTCCTCTCCTTCTTTTCTTGTTCTTTCTTCCTCTTCCCAGATTTCTCCTTCTATTTATTCTCTCTGCCTGCCAGCCCCACCTATTTCTTTCTCCTGCCTCGCTATTGACTGTTCAGTTCTTTATTAGACCATCAAGTGTTTTACGCAGGCACAGTGACACAGCTTCACAGAGTTAAATAAATACAGCATAAACAAAAGTAACACACCTTAAAATAATATTCCACAACAGCAGAGGACTTCATGGGAATCGTGTGCAGCCTTCTCCTCCATGTTGGGACAAAGACCACATCCCTCTTGTTCACATCTGTAGCCACAGTGCCTGGTACCAGTGTAAATGCTCCCTAAAGCTTACACCATTTGAAGGTTTCCATGAATAACCTACATCTATTTAGTATACATTATGAATACCCCCAAATCTATTTCACTTTAGGAAATCTGCTGTGCCAATTAGCTGATGCAATGTCACAAATTACTGCTCAAACTTACCTGCTTAAAATATATATATATATATATATATATATATATATATCACTTGTTATTTCTATTTCTATTGGAGAAAAGTTCAGATAGGGTGCATGTGGCTGGCTTGCCTCTGCTCCATGTCTGAGACCCTGGGGGTGAGACCCAAAGGCCAGGGGCTGAGTCTTCCGAAGACTTAGTTTACCACCTGTACTGACTGTCTTGATTGGCCGAGGAGCTACTGGGAGCTATCAGTCAGAAAGCCCTCGTGTGGCATCTGTATGACTTGTGCTTCCTCACAACATGGACAGCATCTCATTTTTGTGACAGGGCTTTTAAGGGTCTCAGAGCATCCGCCTCCTCTCATTCTGTTCATGAGAGACAAGTCCTTAAGCTTAGCACACATTCAGAGGAGGGGAAATCAGGCTCCAGTATTCACAGAAGGATGGCAGAGAACTTGTAAACATACTTTAAATTCCCCGAGAGCACTGGGTAAACATGAGAGACAGGTATCATTAGGTGGAGAGGCAGTGTTGGAAGGAGGCCTTGTACTCACAGTCTGGCTGCTTGTCCCTGTGTGAGCTTGGGGAATTTGCACTCTGAGATGCGGGCTTCCCCGTTTACACAATAAGAAGATAGCAGCTGTTGATCTCCCGTGGCATTTGCATGCCGGGACTCTTCTTGCCTCCAGGGAGTTGAGGAAGAGCCAGGCCTAAGTACCTGGGAACCTGGCCTTCTGGGGACATCGCTAGCACTGACCATGCCTGGTTCCTGACACAGCAGGTGACAAACGTTGTGACTGAAGCTCAGAAAGATCTGACACCAGGAGGAACTTTAAGGCACCCACGGAAAAGCGCTAAGGGCCTGGGGAGTCTCAGGTCTTTTCTACTCTTGCTGTGGATGCACACATTTTATCCCAGCACTCCAGAGGCAGAGGGCAGAGGCAGGCAGATCTCTGTGAGACTGGGGCCAAACCAGTCTACTTAGCAAGTTCCAGACCAACCAGTGCTACATAGTGAGATCTTGTCTGTAAATAAATAGCTGACATGAATGAGTAAGTCAGTAAACAGCATTCCTTCTGGGTTCTGCCTTGAATTCCTGCCCTGACTTTCCTCAGTGATGGACTATGACCTGGAAGTATAGACCAAAAGAAATCCTTTCCACCCTAAGTTGCTTTTGGTCAGTGTCTTATCACAGCTACCGAGAGGATATTAGGACATTAGGACAGAGGAGATACCTCCAGCAACCTAAACACACACACACACACACACACACACACACACACACACACACACACACACACACAAAGCCCCACCCCCCAAAGGTCCTGCTACCTCCGAATAGCACCATTTGGGGACACACTGGTCTTTGGGAGACCTTCAATATCCAAACTATATCTGTCAGGAACATTTCTCCCAGATGGCTGCTATTCATACCAACTACTGGTAGGAGAAAGAAGGTCTTAAACTGTGAACTCAAGCTGTAGACATCTGGTAGTTCTCAGTTGCGGAGTCACGTGCAGACCTGTGCTACAGGGAAAGGGGAGGGTGTGTTGGGTCTACAGAGTCTGCGTGCCACACACAACCATCAACTGTACTCATCCGGCCAGGTCGACACTCCCCCAAACACTGCCTCCCACTCTGAGGTTGCTGTCTTGGTCCCATGATTGGGAAAACTCTTGTCTCCAGCCAAGTGCCAGGGATTGGGATATCCAAAGTCAGAACTAGGGGCACACTCCGGGGATCCCATGCAAATAACCGAATGAAACATAACAACTCTCAGCCCCTACAAATCCTCCCGTGAGGAGCACTGCCAGAGGAGCTGAGTTTATCCATTGTGGTCATCTCGGCTGATGGATGGGGAAACTGAAGCCTGCAAAAGGGAAGAGATTTACAAAACGTCCCATAGGAAAATGGGCATGAACACTGTCCAGAACCCGCGGCTCCCGGGTCAGCATCCTTGATTCTATAGCTGAGGGCCGCCCCTCCTCGATATGTCCATCAGGAAATTCCCGACCGCCCGCCACAATTCCTTCCGCGTCAGGAATCCCCTCCGGAGTTTGCGCTCTGTGTGGCAGGCTGCAAACTTCCTCCGCAGCCCTGCACACACTTCTCAGCACCCTAAGAGAGAGGTGAGAAGGGAGAGAATGTCCAGGGCATCCCTGCGATAACTTGTAGCTGCGGGGTGGCGGGGTGGCGGCAGCAGGAGAAGGACCCACCGGGAACGCGCTGGCCCTTTAAGGGGGGGACGGAGCGCATGCGCGGCGCGGGCCGGAGTCGAGCCTGGTGGGCGGCGGGAGGCGCAGCCGACCCGGCCGGCGACAGCGGTGGCTTCTGCTTCGCCGAGCCGGGACGCCGCCATCGGCCGCTGGGCTGCACCTTCATAGGCTGCTGCTCCCCGGGGATCCGTGCCCCGGCGCCCGCCGGGGCTTGGTCGCTCGCCGCCGCGGGCGGAGCCTGCGGACCTGCCCTCGCACCCCGCGCGCCCAGCTCGGCTCAGCCTGGCCGCGGGAGCCCTAGCGCAGCATCCTCCGACCGCTCATGCTGCGGCTGGTGGCGAGCGGCGAGCCTGCCCCTCAGTGACCTCAGCCTGGTCCCCGCGCGTCGCCCGAGGCGCTCCCCCACGATGGCTGAGCCTGGGGCCCCGTGTCCCGCTTTGGCTCGGCTGGGACCGCGCCGCGCCCGGTGCCCCCGGTACCCCCGCTGATCCGCTCCAGGCCGGGGATCGCAGGGCCCGGGAGCCCCCAACTGTCGCCTCCCCGCCGCACCCTTCCCCTCCGCCCTCTCCGCTGCTGTTCCCCCGGGCTAGGGGCTAGGGGGACCTAGACAAAGCCCCACTTTGTGCGGGAGGCGGGCGTGGAATGTGCGCGGCGGCGCGCGCCCCCTCCCCGCCCCGCCAGCTGCAAGTCTTGGCTCCCAGAAGGGTCGCGACGGAGAAGTCGCCCCCGGCGCCGCTCTCTCCCCTCGCATCCCCGGTCCCCGGGGTCCAGACTGGGAGCTCACGCGGGCCCCCTTCGCTCGCGCCAGTGTGAGTGTGCAAGGATTCCGTAGAGGAATTTGTTCTCTCCAAAACTGGGAGTGAGTGGGCACCGGTGCCTTGGGCCTCTTTTCCAGCGTTGCCCCAGGAGCTGTCTGGCCTCAGTCTCCCTACCCCCGGGCCCCTACTTTTCTCCTCTCTGCCATCCTAGATCGCTGCGGGTCATTGTTCTCGCTGCCAAATGGGGGTGCTTTGTACAGGCTGCCAAGTTGGGGTATGTTCTCTTCATCCCGTTTTTCAAACAAAACAGGGCTACTAAGGCGGACCCTGGGCAACCCACCTGGCCATCACTCCAGGTTGATGCGCTGATTCTTTCTTACCAAATAGTATTTTATTGTACAGGAGCCACGCCCTGGTTTCTTAAAGGCGCCCGGCACTGTTTGGCCATGTGTTATCTCTATAGCGGGTGTGTGGGAGGCCTTCTGTAAGGCACTAATTTTTCCCGCCTCCTGACATATCCTCCCACCCCCGTCGAGGATTTAGGGATGCCCGGGGGAAAGAAAGTGGTCCCAAGTGGCAGCAGCGGTGCCTCACCGAGCGCAGCCGCCACCACCGCCGCTGCTGCTGCTGCTGCTGTCGCCGCCGCCCACTCTGGCATTAAACGTTTGGAGACCAGCGAAGGGGCCTCAGCACAACAGAGAGATGAGGATCCAGAGGATGAAGGGGAAGAGGATCTACGAGATGGAGGTGTCCCCTTCTTCATCAACCGAGGTGGACTGCCAGTGGACGAGGCCACCTGGGAAAGGATGTGGAAGCATGTGGCCAAGATCCACCCGGATGGAGAGAAGGTGGCCCTGCGGATCCGTGGGGCCACGGACCTGCCCAAGGTAAGACCATGGAGGGGGCGGGCACAATGAGGATGGCTTTTATTGACCTTGGAGCTAAGAAAATAATCCACACACATCTTGCTTCTGATGGATGCAGTAGGGGGGCCATGGGTAAGGTAAGATTTTTAAAACATAGGTAGGTGGCGCCTGTCCAGAACTTTCTTTCCAGTGCTTTTGGAGTCATTTAATGAGGGAGGCTCAGTTGCCCCATCTCCAGGAGGCCCTCTCCCATGGCTTTCTGAGTAGGACCACAGATGAACTGGGGAACCGATATGGCTTGGCCTCTTTTGGGCTCAGGACACTGGACAAGCCAGAAAACTGTGAGACTAAAGATGAATGACCGGGGAAGTGCAAGACTTTGTATGGTGGGAAAATAGCTTCATATATTACCTACTGAGTTTGACCAGCCATGTCCCAAAGGAAGTACAGTTTGGGCTCCCTTTTAAGATGAGAAACTCGAAAGGTACGTGGGATGTGGCAGAGCTGGGAGTCAGCACCAGGTCTTGGGGCTCCAGGGACATTAGCAGTGGGCCTGTGGGGAAGAGAGGAGTTAAGTGTTCTCCTGTGGTGGCTGGAACCCTTCTGCCACAACAGTGCCTCCATGGTACTGCCGAGGAAGGAGAGGCTCTGTCTCATTCATCTTTGTCTTCCTGAGGTCTCCTGTGTGCCTGGCACAGGGCGGGCACTTATGTGTGTTTGCTAAATGAAAGGACACTTTGGGTTGTGCTGTGCAGTGCTATCCTGTGTGTGTGTGTGTGTGTGTGTGTGTGTGTGTGTGTGTGTGTGTGTGTGTTTAATGTTTATGTTCCGTCTAAGGAAGCACTGTTCCACGTCCTGAGGCCATTGGTCAGAAGTCAGACCTAAGGCTTGGTCCTGACAGAAGAGAGGGGAGAATGGAATTAACTGATACATGGAGACCAGGCCTGTTTTGCTTTCGCTGAGTTATTGCCATAGCCATCAGAAAATAGTTTGCTTCGGGGG